CAAATAGCGTGAATTAAATAAAATATAGGCCTATTTCTAAACACTAAGGCCCGGCATGGCCAGGTGGATAAGGCGCTCGACTCACAATCTGAGGGTCGCGGGTTCGAATCCGCATACCACCAAACATACTCGCCTTTTCAGTCGTGGGGGCGTTATAATGTGGCGGTCAATCCCACTATTCGTTGGTAAAAGAGTAGCCCAAGAGTCTTACACTGCTAAATTAGGGACGGCTAGCGCAGATAGCCCTCGTGTAGCTTTGCGCGAATTTCCAAAAACAAACAAACTAAACACTAAATCCAGGGTACAGTTCAACTAATAAAAGTTAAATTATTTAACGCGGCTTTGGATTATTTCAACTTATCAATACGTAACAACTATTGTATAATAAAATACATTTAACAAATAATATTTGTTGAAAAATAAGTATTTACTCTGGTTCAATAAAAGACATTTTTTCTAACAATGACTTTTTTCTTCATTTATAAGAAAGGATTTTAACGTTGTATTATTAGTTAAACAAAACACTTGAGTATTTTGTTACAAGAACTTTCAATACAGTGTAATTATATATGACATAGGACAGTGTTATTAAAATTTAAATAATATTTTGTGTATATGATTTGGAAATTGATACTTTGTTTTTTATTTATAAAATTTCAATATGTGAGTCATTACTGTATTAGAATGTCAAGCCACTAGATTGTTTTAACCGAAATACCTGTGCTGAAGAGTCCGAAAGAAATGATTAATCTTAAGTTCGATATTAGTTTAGTGCATTTCAACTTTTTCATCTGTTTCCAATATTCAGATAATTGATAAAATAATCCTAATTAAAAACTATTTATGAAAAATAAATTCACATTCTTAAGATCCCTTAAAGTGTTACTTTAATTCCCCTTGTTTGTTGTAGTTGCGTCTCTTCTCACCTGAAAATGATTTTTTACTCCAACTTGACCATAGTACACTCCAGCTCCAAATGCTCTACATTTTTCTGGTCTCGGGAGAAGTATATGGGTTTCATATTTCTCGCCAGACGTGCTGTTGTCATTGTTGTTTTCTTCTTTACAATCTAATGCAGTGAGTTCCTGATGTGAAATAGGTCTATCCGAATCTACAAGACCTGTAAACGAGACGTAGTCACCCAACACCAACGTTGCGTAATCTGGAATTTCGTCATCAATGAATCCCTTAGAACTTTCTGTTTCTTCTTCAAAGAAATATTGACGATGACCTTCCCCCAAACAGTTTTCTTCATCTAACATAATAGGGTAAGATTTATTAAAAAGTGGGTTTCTTTTCACTTGAGAATTGCAGTTACAATTCATTATTGTCTTCTTTTCTTGAATAATTTTGTCAAAATTGTTATATGCTCCCATATGATTTTTGGGTTCACTGTTACTTCTGTCTCGACTTTTTTTATTCCATTGAATTAGAGTAACACCTACATTAGTCTGGTTGGGTTCACCGTTATTACTGTCTTCAGTAACATCTGAATCCTGACCTCCAAATATTGAAATCTGAGATGTAGAACCAAAACTAGACAGAGGAGCTGAAGAGAAGGATTTGCCCCCATAGCCTGAGCTAGAGCTCTGGTATCCAGAATTTATTTTGCTGACAGAGTAGTTACTTGTGTCTACCTTATACGTAGGAACCGTCGAAAGGCTTGGAACGGCCGCCTGTTGCTCTTTCACAATGAAGTCTCCAGTTTCAACTTGAACTCCTATGTCCACAGTGGTTTTGGTTCGACAATTACAACACGAAATATTATTGGGGAAGGGTTTCCCTTTTTGGAAAGTTGATTCACGTGTATCTGATTTCTGCTGCTGACAAACTGACCTGGCTGTAAACAGAATAAATGTACGAGTATATTACTGATTATCCAAGCCAATCTGGCGAATACGTTGTTTAGAAATATTAGACGCGTGCAATTCTTTTTTTAAAGTGTGGAATATGAGAAGAAGTGCACTAAGTTTGGCGAAATCCAATAAATATGATGTTGTTTTAGCTTATAAACAAACATTTGGTTGAACAGGGAAGCGAATAAAAACAAGAAGAAAAAAGACAACACTATTATTGAGAAACACAACCACAGACGAGACATTGGAGGATAAATATACATGTACATCGAAGAAATAAATAAAGCTTCGTTTTGGAAATAAACTTATTTTGTTTCAAACTTCATACCTTGCTCTATTTTCCACTGTCTTTCCTCAAACTCTGTCTTATTTTCTGTTTTATCTTCTTCGTGATGAAATACTTCTGTTGCTTCGTCTGAAGCTAGTTTGCTGGGTTTGTATCTGTCCTTCTCATCAAAATTTGTAGAGTTCTGGCTAAAAACCTGAGATTCTTTTTTTTCTGTTCTAAATTTGCTCTTTAAAGGAGTCAGCTTGGTGTCATCTTTAATATTTTCCGTCAGTGCAAATGCATTTTGTTCTTTAATATACAATTGCAATGAAGAAAAGGTAGGTTGGGTTTTACTATCCCTGTCTTGGTTATTAGACGTCAAATCAGACAGGGAATTAGATTTAATGCTTTTATCACCATAGCTGGGATTTTGCAAATTTATTGTTAGTTTGCTCGTAAAGGAATTTTCCCATTTCTGTACACGATCCTTCACCATCCCCTGACTACAGTATCTACCTGGAGAGGATTCAGGAAAGGAAATAGGATTAATTTCAGGGAAACAACTTGTCGTAACATTTGAAATATTCCTATCTGAACCACTTTGGTATGTGAAACATTGATCTTGTTTGCTAAAATCCATAGAGAATTCTGACTGTTTAGCTTTTGAAAAGGGGAAATCATGTATGTGTCTATTTATATCATCATCTTTTAAACAATTCTCATGAATATCATTGGATCTTATAGTGGGATGATCTAATCCTGAGGCCCCATTTATTTTTTCGTTATCTATAGTTTGGTTATCATGCAAGAAAGTTTGTGCTTTTTGATATCCGTTCGTGTCGGACGTAATCAAGTCTGAGGATTCTGAGTATTTGTTTGGGGATTCTGAATAATTGAGTATATCATCCACTTTGGAATTGTGTGAGAACTTTTCTTGTACTTTCTTTGTACTTTGAGCATTCTCTGGTGTTTTGGACAGAGTTTCTGTATTTTGAGGTAAGCTAGGGTCAAATTGCTTACAAAAATTAAGTTCATTTTGATCTCGTTTAACAGAAAGTTGGATCTCCTTCAATTCGGTTTCGGTTTCGTGAGAACAATTTTTATTTATCGGTGGAAACTCACATTTTGCAGACTTCAGATTTTCTGTAACTCTGTCGTTATAAACAGAGTTTAGATCAATGATTTCTTGATTAACCTTGATATGGCTCTTTTCTGAGCTAAAATCAGAGTAATCTGTGATCTGCTGGTCTTTTTCCATGGCTTGTTCATAAATACAGTTATTTTTGGAATTTATCTCTGTCGTTAAATTAATACTTGTCACAATTTCTTTATTTTCTTCTTTTTTTGGAAGAAATAATTTAGTTTCAACATCATTTAACGATGGTTCTAGTTGAGAACTTGTTTTTTTTTTAATGATTCTTCTTGTATCTTTCCTGGGCTTTTGGAGGTGCATAGAAGAGCCTGTTTATTTGCTAACGTTTTTGGTGAGTGATTGTCTTCCTTCTGAATAAATCTTATAGAATCGCTAGATTCTTCTGCTAAAAAAGCTTGCACAGCTTGACAATCTACACTGTACTGTCGAGTGAGGAAACTATTTTGTTTAATTGGTTTAGCTACAGAATCAGTTTTGCTATGTTTCAAGCTCTCATTTAGATCAGAACATTTGCTATTTTTTCCTTCTGGGAAACACTTAATAGCATCTGTTAACTTTTCATTCCCTTCAACAACAACATCATGACCATTGATAGATACCACTTGTCTCAGAATGCGACGTTTAGTTACTCCGCCTAATTTTTGGGAACTTGAATCTTTGTCATAATTTTCAGGATTACAAGACTCGCATTGATTTATAGGACTTTGTTCTAAACATTTGAAACTATCAAAGCTATCCTGCATATGAATATCGTTCAGTCGTTGTGGAAGTAACAGTCTTCTCGGAGGTCGAACTTTGGTTTTCAAAGAATGATTGATAATTGATTCATCAACACTGACATTGTATGGACTACCCATGATATGTTGACCTTGCCAAATGATACTTAACCTGTGTTTTCCTGTACAAAGTGGAGTATAGCTCAAAGAAAGTTTTCCTGGAAATACTTCATAATCAAATGGTATTTGATCATTCTTTTGGCGTTTGCTTTCATTTCCAAATTCGTTTGATGAAGACAGATCATGAACTTTCTTGGTTGTAGAAATGACGTTTCGTTTTCGTTTCGGAGAACGATTTGTAATTCGTTCGGTGCAGTAGGTACCTTTGGGACCTTTGATTTCAATCACGATATTAAGATTAGTCGTTGACTTCAAATAGATATTGAATCTTGCTTTACGACCACGAACTGCTAATGCTAAACCCATCCCTTTAGCAATACAATCCTGTTCTTCCCCAAAAACCAGCTGCTGATTCACTTGTATAACTGGTCTTTTCAGCACTGTTTTAATCTTCAACTTTGCTGCTGCCAATTTCATTTGAGAGAGTAAACAAAAGAGCTTTCTTTCAGTACCTGAGTGGCATTCTACAATTTCTTCTGCCATTACACCCTGAAAGATAGAATACTATAACAATTCGAACTATGTTGATATTCAGTTTACGTGAAATCTCAGTTTAATATTTATTTTAAATTGATTATTTCTAGCATTAAAAATGAAACACCAAACTTAATGATCCCCCCCCCCATTAATGATATTTCTGTACTGACAAGTAGATACGTTTTTGTGTTGTTGGTCACAATTATAACATTATAATTTTACGAGACATCTATCAAATCTTTAGAAAATTAAATAAAATAGTTAAAGTAGAAACAGGGTTAAATTTCAAAATGCTTTTATAGTTTGGGAGTTCATTATTTTGGGATTAATTCATGAATAACATACAACCTTTTACACTTTTGAAAACAAAAGGCTTTATAAAAGTACTATAAAGATCACTTTGTTGGTTTTATATGTAAAACTTGGAAATATTGTGTTACTCTTTGACGGATTATGACAGCAGTACTGGGAATAATTATGTATTTACAATACTGTACAATTTTTGATAACGTGGTACCCACCGGTTTGATGCCAATTGCTTGTTCTACTAGTTTCAGTCCTAATTTAACATTGGCCAAGCTATTTTTCAGAGTTAAGAGGATCGTAACGTGGACAGGACCCAGGTATTAATTCCTCTACAAGCGCGCATATCATGATGCCGTCCTTCCAGCACGATGTAAAATTGGTCGGTGGTTGAAGATTTGGGATTTTACTGTGGACCCATTCAAGCATCCTCTGCTTCTCTCCTGATCCAAGAGATACTCCTACATATAAATGAATTAGATATACATGTAATTTGTTCTGATCTCTAAATAAAGTACCCCATCGATTTTCAAACCCCTGCATATAGGGGATGGTTAGAAATTCTTAGGACAGTTTCAAGTCTTCATAATAAAGAACTGTAGAAGCTTTTTATTTTCAGTGTTGTTATTTTAAACCAGTTTCTAAATACTTCAGTTATTTTTCTCATCATAAAAACATTTGGTATCAAGAAACTGTCCTAATGTGCAACACTTCTAATCAAGAAACTGCTTAATCAATATAAACCAATGAATGAACTTGTTTGTATGAATGTTCCACTGTCGTAAATCAAGAATGATAAATTCATAATGAAATTTTGTAACGAAGTGAACTTTGTTTTTGTCATAATCATTATGGTCCGATTCTCGCAAAATAGTATTCACAAGTGGTTAAGAAAATATTGTCAGTGTGAAACATAGTATTTGTACTTTCGTTGAGCTAATGTTCATAGTTTAACAGAGGAACTCGTAAAACGTGGAATCACCCCAAATTATCCAAAACCCCGCCTGCCGATCTCTTATCACTTTAACGACGACGTGAACGTTAGGCCTATTAGCCAAAAGTGTACTCCTTTTTCAACAACAGAAATTAAATGTCTTGTCATTCGAAATGAACCCATAATTGAATATCCCCTATTGTATGCATTCGTACTAGATTGACGTAGACGTCGAAACTTTCTTCTAGAACTACAAATCGTACTATGACGAAATCTAGCACGACGTCACTGCTCATGTGCAGATCACTTTTGGTTTGTTTTGTTTTATATTTCGTTCAAAGATACATGAGGGCTATTTGCGCTAGTCGTCCCTAATTTTGCAGTGATAGACTAGAGGGAAGGCAGCTAGTCAACACCATCCACCGTCAACTCTTGGGATACACCTTTACCAACGAATAGTGGGATTAACTGCATATTATAATCCCCCACGGCTGACAGGGCAAGCATGTTCGGTGCTAGGAATTTGAACCCGCGACCTGCTAAGAGCGCTCGACTCGCAATTTGCAGGTCGCGGGTTCGAATCGAATCCCCGTCACACCAAACATGCTCGTCCTTTTCAGCCGTATGGGCATTATAATGTGACGGTCAATCCCACTATTTGTTGGGGAAAGAATAGCCCAAGAGTTGGCAGTGAGTGGTGATGACTAGCTGCCTTCCCTCTAGTATTATACTGCTAAATTAGGGACGGCTAGCGCAGATAGCACTCGTGTAGCTTTGCGCGAAATTCATAACAAACAAACAAACTAACTGATCATAAATGAATTAGTAATAGAGCTCTATAGGTTTTTTTACTCTTTAGTAAAATGTGTAAAAAACCGATTCCATACGAACAACTATTATAACATCTGAATAACACTTTTTATCAGTAGTACTCGTGAACTATGTTTAAATTGAACACAATACAATTAATGATAATATATATTTTTTTAAATTACAGGTTTGGGCATGACAAAAGCATCAGATTACGTTGTTTGATAATTCGCACATACTGAAGAATTAACTTATCACTACATACTTACGTCAATAAACTGTCCCATGTTTAAGAAAAAAATATTACATGTCTAAAGGGCAAAGTATTACGAAGCTTCACTTAAAAGCTTCCATTGTCAGGTTACTCTTCTGATACCAAATACCTATCTTGTCTATGACCATTTTTTATCATTATTTATTTACGAAGTTAGCGCACCGTATCTATCGGTAAAAAGAAACATTAAATACCTAACTGTACTTGCTTCAAACTTTGAGATAAAAGTGCTTTATATATTCCATATTCATAGTCACATCCATCTTAAAATGATCAAATGTGAGAGACTGTACTACATTTGCATGTAGTCAAAAATGGGTTTAAGTAAAATTGATAGAAACAACTAACCTAAAATTAATATTTTTTTAATACCTCGTATTAAAAGGAAATATTAATATTAATATGAAAAAAAATATATATATAGTGAGTGACTCAGTCATGTGTTCTCAGTAGAAATTAATCGAACAGGTCCATATTCATTACTATATTAATTTGCTTTTGCTAGCCGCCGCAAAAAAGTCATCCGAACTAATGGGAAGAATGGCGCTGTTTTTGATGAGACTTGCATTTTGGACTAGCCTCGGACCACCTGGAGGACCCTTGAAGAACCACTGCATTAAGTGAGTGAGTAAATGTTACTGCTGCGACGCTAAGCGGGCATTAAAGAAATCTTATGAGCGTAGCTCAATTTTCCGTTCATATTATAATTAAAATAGTAATGAACTCGAGGAATGACCCACTCCCAAGCCGTGAGAACAACTAGAAACACACAAATTGCTATTCATGTCAAGGAATTATACGCGCAATAAAAACTTTTATATTAACTGATCAAATTTTGATTTAAATGTTTTTTTTTTATCGTCATACAACTACCGTTTTGATATGCAAATATAAATGTAGAAAGATTGATAGTGGACTTATTCACTCAACTAAATTTTGTTATTACCTCCATCACCGAAGGTGGACGGAGGTTATGTTTTCACCCCTTGTGTGTGTGATTGTTTGTGTGTTTGTCAGCAAGATTTTTCGAAAACAGTTGAATGGATTTGGACGAAAACTGGTATACAATTGGATTATGACCCAGCTTAGAAGTGTCAAGTTTTTGGAGGGTCAAGGTCACGACAAAACAAAAAATACCCATCTGTTAACATAGGCAGCGATTTTTCACGCTATTTTGCTCTATAACTCAGTCAAAAATGATCGAATTTTGATGAAACTAGGTGGACATATTCCTTATTGTCCTGCCAAAAATGATCTGTTGATAACGACAGACATACCGACAGATTTTCGTATTTTTGAGAGCCGAATATGATTAACGCTGCGTGGCGGAGGAATGCGCTCTACCGAGTGCCCTCTTGTTATCAATATTTTAATGCTCAAACATATTGAAGAAACTGTGCTTCGGCGCAATTTTATTCAAATGTTTTATATATAGTTTGTATTCCACATTTGTTTCGACCCCTTCTCTCATTATAGTGCACATTGTAACTCATAGTGAAGTACTTGTTAGTAGTCTTTGGCAAACACGAATATTAAACATGGGTTTGTGGATTTAATGATTTGTTCTTCACCTAAGATAAATCAAAGTTGAACTATTTCCCATTATTATACCTTAAAAAAGACCGTATTCAGCACAACCTTTGTTAAAACGTAAAAGATTAATTTCTTTTTTTTCATGCAAAACCAATCGGACTGCTTTGCAGGCTGTGTAACAATTTCTTGTATGTTTAGTAGTGTTCTGGTAACAGCATAAACTGGGGGTGAAAAATATCATAAAGTGATTTAAAACATAAAACACACTATCGACTTATTACATGTTTTAGAAAGGTGTCTCAGTTCGTACAAAAAACAAGAATAAAAAAATCATTGATATACTTACTACTTCGAACAGCAAAACACCAAAGGCATAGTCTATCCACCAGATCACGAATACCCCTCCACCTACTGGGATGTAGACATGCAATGAAACCACAGATCCAAATCCAAAATGTCCCAAGGCGGGTCGATATCATTTTGTGGATGTTATTGAAGGCTGTCAGGTCTTTATATAATAAAGTCAGATTATTTCACAAACTAGTTCCATATAACAACTAAATTTATTCTTATCTAAGATGTTCTATCATATACCTAACACTCTCAATCACAAGCCTGAAATGTTGTTACTACTGATTTTTGTATTTGATAAAATGTACTAGCAAAACAAAAACACAAAATGCACAATTATGCGGATTTAATAATGGCTCAAGCTTAAATTGAATTTAGTTCACGCATGAATTACATTGTCAAGTAAACGTCGAGTACGGACTCACAGAGATTGCAAAAAAAAAGACAAATCAGCAAAATAAATCACGATAATCATAAATGTTTTTTAAATACCCGATAGGATGAATAAAGTGAAAATAGGGGCAGCAAAAAAATAAAAAAATAAGATTAAAATGATAAAAGATTGATGCCTAAATTACATGGGCCAGGCGTGGTCTATGGTTAGCGTCACGGGCTGAATGTCGAGAGTCCCAATGTTCTAGGTGTGATACTGTTGAAGACTCTCTACTTTCAGCTATTAGTACGTTATAAATGGGGCATGCAGTCCATATTTTGGTTCAAAGAGTCGAAGAATATCTTGTGGCGGCGGGGGCTACTTCCTGGTTACTTTTCCTTTGGCCAGTAGTTCAAAATTAGCGACAATTATACCTGAATTTAAGGGGTCTCTAACTGGACATATAACCCACATGCGCATAAGCCGTAGCTCACTTTTAAAAATTCCAATACTAAATTCTTAAGTTATTTTCAACTTTTATTTAAAAGCCCTATATTACAGAGTGCATATAAATCACTATTTATAGAAAAAATCAAAAGAAGAAAATAAACAGGTAAAACAACTGTGAGTACCATGCTGAGAAAAACGGAATATGGTGTTTATTAAATTAAGAATGCCTTTCAGTAATGTATTTATGCAAACTGAGAATTTGTAGACCAAGTGTTTTTTAGAGTAAATTGTTAGCGTAGATATATCCATAAACCAGTTTGTTTTGATGTGTGCAAGTGTAATAACTTGTAGCAAATACAAATACAAATGTAATTACTGTAAATCTTATAATTTAATGGACTCTGGTAATGATTAAAAGAATCACTCTTAATTACTTTCATAGTAGCGTAGTATATTTCTACAGGAAACCCGTATTGAACCAGTTAAAATGATGTGTCTAATTATATATAATTCTTAGCAGCTGTCATAGTATAAAAGACTGTTTAATTTAGATATTAGTGATTAATTTATTTTTGTGAGCAAATATTTTATTGTTGTTTAGTTTGTTATAACAAGAGTTAAAAGCAGACGATTGTAGGAAGTTTTGTTAATAATTCATTGACGTCGAGAATATAGAAGGTGGACAGACGATTAAGTGATAAAGA